GAGTAGAAAATGAAGGCTAATCATGTTTTGGGTGTACTATTCCTTTAAGCTTTGAAGGAAAAGTTGGTTTTATCCTGGCCATCTTTGCAATAAAGGGTAAATATTGTAAATTGCGGCTTTTCATATTAGAGTGAGATGCAAAATCTATGTCTACATGCATAAAGCTACATTCAAAGGCAAAGAAAAGTGGCCAATAAATTTTGAAAATTATAATAATAAGTTATTTTAGGTAATGAAAGTAGAAAAAAGAAACCCAAAATGTTTTCTTGGGGTGACACAGCTCTTCTTGATAGCAGAAATTATACATATAAAATTAAAGGGCCCTTTACTTACTTCAAGTTTAGTTTCCCTCTAATGCATTTATTCTTTCTCTGGCTTAAACTCACTAATGCGAAGAAATATTCTCAACTTCATCACCTTCACAAATAAATATTCCCACCTTTTTTTACTAAGGGCAGGATTTTACATTCAGTTATAGTTTATTTACAACTTTTTACCATTTCTTTAAAGGATTCGAAAGGGGGACTAGACTGGCTGGGAATTTTATTTTTAAGCATGCGACAGCGATAATGATGTGACATAGTATAGCTGAGTGTTTTATATAAGGTAAATATGTGCAGGTCTACGATACAGTAAAGGTAGTAACTGCACTAATGCAAAAATAGTGATTGTTAGTGTTCTGAGCACAGCCATTAAAACTGGTACAAATTTGATGCTGATCAGGAAAAGGGCATTTCTGTGTCTTAAGAGGGCTTCCTGGCAATACCTCTTCTTCTGAGAAGGGTGTTGCTTGGACTAAACTCTGCCTGGAAAAATAGTTTAGTCTTGGTAGACTTGAGTAGCAGTTGGGTTAAGCAACATACAAACAAGAAGTCTAGATGATAGGTAACTTCTGTAAATAACCAAATATAATTTAAATTTACCACACGGAAGGACTACAAATAGATATTTAGGTCTTAATCTTAGGGGGCTGCCATTTTCCTGCCAAGACGTTATACCCTAGTGATTATTCATTTTTTGTCTAAATCACTTTATTTCATAATAAAGTGATTTTCATTATGAATGATTGACAAAATTTAAGTTTAAATGTGTTAAAAAGCTTTAAAGAACTGTCTCATAATCTTTACCAGACAGGAATCTTATCTCCTATTTGACAAACTGTTGTACTGAGAAATTAAAAGAAAATCCTGCTTTTTAAAAATGTGCATTAAAAATGGTGCTTGAAATGTATGTTTGTGAAAATATCTTTAGCCAAAATGGGCTGATTGTTGAATGTATGGGAGTGATCCATTTTAAAATTAAAAGGAGCCATATTTTACATAAAATTCACTCTTGATACGTCATGTAGCATTTGCAACAGACTTAACCATAGTAAATTCAACATCATCTCTGCAACTACAAAAAAGGAGGAATTTGGATGTAAATAAGTAGATTATAAGGCCATGATCTGCAAGAGCAATATAAACAAATCCTCTATCAACCATAAAAACCAAAACATTAATCATTCAGCAGGGATTAATGTTGCATTTTCTATTTCTGTACTGCTTTACTCAAGCTAGAAAATATTACAGAGGACAGTAAATCCAGGAATGTGTGACATGATCATCTGTCACGAACCTAATGTCAGATACCGTGAAGAAAATTCCTCACGTAAGAAACATGTAAAGAGGTGTGACAGAATAAGACACCACTTAAGCTAATTATGCCTTATTAAAGTGTGTATAGAGGTACTGACTGAGGGGTGAGAAAGAAGAAGTGTGCAGTGACAGCTCACACACCGCCTGTTAGTCCCACAGCAACCCTTACTCCTGTCAAAAACCAAAGAGTGATGCTTTCACACAAACGCAAACACACTAACAACCGCTGCAAACATTTTCTATCATTCTAATTCATTACTGGGAGGCTACAGCCATGGAGCAAATTAAGGCAAATATACGTCACTCTTCCTGAGGAAAAAAAGGCTAAATAAGAACTGACGTGAACATAATCTTTTAAATATCTACTCAAAACAACTTTATTTTCATAAACTTTTAACACTGAATCAGATGAAACACAGGATGTCTTTGAAGGAGGCAACATCGCTTCCATTGTTCATCACATTTATTTTGACAAAGAAATGAGATTTATGAATAATTTCCTTTGTTTGACCACAAGGTAAACCGCCTGAGCTAGGTGCTTTAAGTCACATGTATGCTTGTGTGTGTGCTCCCATGGTTTAAGTACAGCTGATAAGAGTGTTACAGTGTGTTTGCGGACTGTGTGTTTTGAAGATAAAAATCCCAGTGGTCAACAAGAGTGTTGGGCCAGAGCTTCACTGACCAGCCCTTCATCTGAAGGAGGAAAAAAGGGAGGGGAAGAGGGAGAGAGGGAGGTAGCCATGTGGTTAACACTTGCTCACTGAGAGGCGACTGGAGCACAGCCAACCTCTTCACACACAGGCTGACCACACAAGAGCCTCTCTTTCTCCCTCTGCTTTCCATCCTCCCTCCATCCCTTGTCAGCTAACAAATCCCTGCCTTGCTTCTTTAGCAGACTCAGTCGTCATCCGCTCAGTTTTACCACTTTTCTGTTATCAAAATGTTGTCCAACTTCCTCTGCCCTTTTTCCTCATGTTCTTCCCTTCTACTTCTTCCTACAACCCTGGAACAGTCCGTCTGCCTTCATCCACCATCCTGTCTGATTTTAATAAACATCCATCGCTCTCCCCTCTTCATCTCCTCCAAAACCTTGTTCCTTCCGTCCCTCTCTGCCCAAATATGCCTCAATCCTACTCACCCGTATAGGTATGCGTTCGGTCTCTGTCTCTTTCTGGGGGTTGCGATATTTCTCATAAAATTCCCTCTTCTTTTTCCTCTCATTGTCATCTTTGCGCTCCCTCTTTTCAGCCGGTTCATCTGGGAGTTCGGCAGGAGAGGATATGGGGGACGTCTTTGCTGGCTTCTCCACCTCCAAGTAGTTTTCGTTGGGGTTGAGCACCATTACACCATAGCCCTCCTGAAACATATCCACAAGATGGTGTGTCAGATCAAAGGAATCAGTTACCATATCCAGTTCGGTAAACAATATTTCATCATTCAATTTAGTTTGATGATTTGGAACTCAGTGAAGTTGTTTTTCATAGAATAAATCATAGATATGTTAAACATAGTTATGGTAAGACATGGTTACAATGGTAACTCTTCACTGTAGCTGCCCTAATTAAGAAAAGAAGTACCAGTACTGTGTTTGAAAATAATGAACACCAAGGATGTTAGGTTTAAAGGGTATTTAAAATGGAAATCTGTTCTACACATGCAAGTGAGAGTAAGACTTTGAGTGGGTAACAGGAAGGCTCACACAGAATATCATGGATTTTTGAATGTTGGCCAGAAAACTTTGAATTAGGGTTATGGTATGGTATGGATATATGGGGTTTAGAATGGCAACATATTTATTTAGTCTTTTTTAAGAGAACCCTGCTTTTATGATCCTTTTTTACACATATTAAAATCAGTTTCAGCAAGTTTTTAGTGATAATCAACATACCAGAGGTTTATTAACCATTTTAACACTAAAATCCAACATGATATATATTTTTTTGCTTGTTTAAGTAAGAAAAAATGTTTGAATAAAAAGTATCTAAAAACTATATCATTTTGCTGTGGATATGAGTCTGTGGAGAAGTCTCTTAATGTAAAGGAAACCAAAACTGGATACTTGACATTTGCCTACAGTTGTTTCAATTTTCCTCCATAAAATATGTTTAAAAAAGCAAGGCTGAGCAAACTTTGTTCATTAATTCAGTTTAAAACTCTAAAGCCAGCCCAAAAACCATCAGCTTGTCTCTGATTCATGGTCTTTGTGTTTAATAAAGTGCCCAGCACTGGCTGTTTATGTACAAATATCCTTGCAACACCTTAAAGACGCAGCTTCTTCGCCGAGTGTGGGGAAAGATGCAAATCAAGACCGAAAGAAAGGGCGGTGAATGAGATAAAGGAGAGAGTGTCACTGCAGGAACAAGCTTGAGAAGCGACTGGGGGATTGGAATTCAGCATTGGTAGTTTCAGTCAGTGAGTAGCATTTAGCGACTCCAAAGGCCATGTGTCACTTAATATCAAACCCAATCAATACTACCATCACACAGTGAGAGAGTTCACTAAGAACACATATCTTTGTGTCTGCTTGTGTCCGTTTGTGTTTGTTTGTGTGGCTTAAAACTTCACTATTCAGCAGAAAAAAAATAATAATAAAAAACAACATATTTCTTTTCAAAACCGGAAAAAAAAAAAGTTTTAGAAGATATAATTGACATTGTAAAAACAGATCAAAAAACAGTAAAAGGGTTTTAATAAATGAAAAAGTATATGAAGCAGGAAACAAATTGACATTCCAAATGACTTTTTCAACTCTGAACCCTATTTAATTAACTCTGTTTAGAATCCCGAGTCCTTTGGGGAAAAAAACAGGAAATAGATGGTTTCCTGTTTCACTTTGTCCTTTATATACACCAGCCCCAGTGCAAATACACATAACTACACAGAGACAGCAGAAAATTCGATACTGATGGCTGTCGGCCAAAAACATTTAAACAGACGCATTTCTATTAAACACACACTTGAAATAAGTAACGAACAAAACGAGAGAAAGGAGACCTTTAGGAGGTACAGCTCAGTTTCCTCTGCAAATCTCCATCGGACAGAGTGTCGTCTCATGGCAGCATGTCTTCCCTTCCTTAATAAGTGTTAACACAGTGTGCTTGTCTTCCGTTGACGCAGCATGTGTGTGTGTCCCTCCTGTGCCGACTGACATCAAACCTGCCACACACCCTGTCCCTTAGCACCTGCCGTGTGTTGACAATGGCAAAATGGCTCAAACAGCAAAATGACACGTTCTCACTTATTAATATTGTAAAATTAGTCCTGTTCTCACTTCCTGTCAGTCCCAGATCTCTTTCCTCTATACGGTTTGCAACGGTAAAGATTCAAATCTATTGGTTTATATATGATTCTTTACACTTTATTTATTATATTTCGAGTAAAATTTAAAACATAAATTCAAATTCTTTGAATGAAAAATAGGTATTCCTATTATGCTTCTCTTCTAAAATATGTTTCGGTTTGATTATTTTTCAATTGGTTTCTAATTTAGCAACTAATTTCTTTATTTATCCAAAGGATTTTAATTTAGCCAAAACATATACAATTATATTGTGCTTGGACGGCAGAAGTAAAGGAATACGGATTAAATCACAGACAAATGTGCACACCTCACCTGAGGTTTGAGGTGCCGATAATCCAACATATCATGTAATAAAGAAATTAATAAAATAGATATAAAGATGATAGGGATATGGTTATAGATGACAGTTCTGTGCCACTACTCACTGGTGGCCTAAAAAAAATGAATGAAAAAAGTATAAAGCTTTTAATCTAAAAACAACAAAAGAGTGGTTTTAATTGGAACCATATATATAATTTCTACTGTATATTTGTATCATTAATAAGACAAATAGAAAGTACATTTCAACAGCTTTAAAAAAATAATGCCAAAGCCACATTATTTGCCCAAACCAGAGTAAAGTATAAAAAAATCCAACATCCCAGTTCAATCCAATTGAATTGGGATGTTGCTGGGGTGCATAATATCCGACAGGTTTTTGTTGGGTAGCGTTTACTGGGGGCAGATGTTAATGGTTTCGATCACTGCATCAATGTCATAAAAAGCTGTTTTGGCTCATCCTAACCCTCAACTCTCTCCATCCCTAAGAACACTAAGATTATGGTCTCAGCTCTTAGCCATTAGCTAGGCTTTAGGTTATGGCCTACAGCCCTTCCTTTACACACACAAATACACATAATAAACCTAACAGTGCTAACCCTTTCAACTACCCAGTCACCCATGAGGAGATTGTTGTAAAGACGAGAATCAGCTTTGGAGTGCTTCATCCGGAGGAGCAGGGCTGTCGGGTTCATCAGTGTGTCGGAAGCTATCATTCAGCTGAACACAGAGAAGTACGTCGGAGTCAGATCAACCCGGATGTCCCTGTCTGCTCACTTCCTACTTCTATTATTCCCTGTCTCTCTAGAAATTCTCAATTTGTCTTTCTGCAAATTCTGACTTGGACAACCTTATAAGAAAAATTATACCTTTATGAATATTGTAAATAATCTTCACCTCATTTTTCAACATAATCTAAAAAAAAAAAAAAAAAATTATCTTTTCCCTAAATCTTATCCAACAAATATTTTTTAGAATAACTAAATTTTCTTCTTGCTATGAAATAAATCTGTCACACTCATCTTTAGTTTGGTTTCTCTGTCTTTGTGGCTGTCTCACTGTTAAGTCGCCCCCCCACACTTTTCCAAGCACAACCAAAAAAATCTCATCTTTTGTTTTGTGATGTGCTGTCAAAGTGTGAATCCCACTCAGATGCCCATAGCAATCTTTGGGTCAACATGCTTCTTTCTTTTTTTTTTATGCGTCAAAATCTCCCTCACATAGATTGCTAGCTTTGCTAACACCCCTTTTGTCCCTTATACACACTGTCTCAGATAAAATAGACCCACACCATCCTTTAGCTGTAGGTCAATCTTGTCTTTCTGCTGTAGTGTGCAGCCTAAGTCCCTTCCCATGCCCTATGGGTGCCCCTGTGCCACTACCACACTGAGTCTCTGCCCTGGGGCCAGCGGTCAAGAGGGTCACCCCAGCCCCCTCTGGGGGTGGTGGGGGGGACCAACCCGATTCTCGCTACTGCGCCCTGGACGCTCCTTAGCTCTCCTTTGTCGGCCTGTCCCCACACTAGATGGCAAAACAAAGAGCGCTGCTGCTACGGAAACCAGCGTGTCTCGTCATATTATGAAACCTGCCTTCTGTCATCTCTTTCTAGGAAAACTTGAAAAGAAATTTGAGTTAATCTAATAAAAATGCAATATTTTACTTCTTTTTAATTTAATCTTCAACCTTAAACTGCAGTGTGTTGTGCAAACATCACGGCTATGATTGAAATATCAGTCTCGGTGGTCTACAGCCAGAGCGCTCTCTGCTAGCCGTTTACTTTGTAGTGTGACACAGTATCCACATCGTAGCAAGCACAGATGTGGATACAAGTGAAAGTAAATAAGATGTCCCTTTAAGACGGCAGCACCTCTATTTTTTCAGTGATGTTGTAATGAAATGAAATGTGTCTAATGTGCCGGAGCGGGGGACAGAGGCGGCTACACTGAGAGGGTGTTTCATCTGTGCGCGTGGAGCTCCAGGACGCTTTGATGTGAGAGCTCTCATGTAGTGAAGCAGGGATCGGGGCACAAGGAAAAGGACATCACTTGACAGGTACAAAGCATGGCTGATAGCGGTCACGGGTGCATGGAGTGAGAAAAGTGGATAGTATGGTTAGGTGAATTGGAGGTTGTCCGTGTTGTGTTAGTATTGCCAGCTGAATAAGAGCACACTAATGTTCTTGTATTGCAACGTGTAGTTCAATAATAAAGCATTTATGGATATATGCATTTATATGCATGCATTTATTTTTTTATAATTAAAAGAAGCTCTCAGGCAGATTAGGCTGATTTCTTTGCTCCAACAACATGGTGTTCCCAATTTTCTCAAGGTACTGGCAAACAGTCTCAGTAAGTAAGAAGTAATCATTACTATGAAATAATATGTCAAAAACCTTTATTTCTGGTTCAGATATGAAAAATTTGGAATTGATCAGACTTTCAATACCTTTTTTTGTAATCAAGAAATTTCTATTCCCCTTAGGCAGATGTGTCAAGTAACAAAGTACAAATACTTTGTGCACTTTAGCTATCTATATTTTACTGGAGTAATAATTTTTTAGACAAATCTTTCCTTCTATTCCTTACATTTTTTGGCAATTTTTTCCACTTTCTACTCCTTACATTTTTAAAATAGACCTGTTAGTTTTGTTTCATTTAAGCTCATTTTTGTTATGGCAAGTTGGTAATGCAAAAAATTTAAAACTATCAAAATATTTTTGCTTCATCCAGACAATTTCT